AAAAAATAAAAAATAAATATACAAGACCAGAAGGTTTAGGTATGTCAAAAGATGTGTGAAAGTGATTTATCAAGAAAATATATATGTTTGTTTGTTGGTTTCAATTTGTTATGAAGTTTAAATATGTTTATATTGGTTGTCATCAAAGGGTTAAATTCAAAGTATGTTATTAATATGTGTACATTGGTCATCTTCAAAGAGTTTAAGAGCCAACAGGTTACAATATGATCTCCTCCTTTATGGTGAGTTAAAAAAAACTGTTGGGAAAAGTCACAAATATCTCAGACCAAGATGTGACATTTGAGATTTGACTTTAAAAAGGGCAAAGGAGGCTAGGTCCAGAGAAAAAAAGTAATTTATTCTCTGCCAAGACCCCTCCAAAATGCTTCAATTATTTGATTCCATCTTTGCTACCCATTGTACTAATTGGGAGGACTGTAAAAAACTTTGTAGAACTTTTTTAACCCCTAAAGAAATGCAGAGAGTTTTAGGAGAAATTAAAAAGATTAATACCACTAGAATGCCAGGTGATATGCAGAATCCAGACGCTTGACATGAACAGCAATTCCCAGTAAATGTGCAGCCTGATTGGGATCCCAATAACCAAGCAGGACAGGAAAACTTGAGAAATTACTGGGCAGCCCTTTTAGCAGAAATGTGGGCTGCAATAAAAGACCTATTAATATGATTAAAGTGTCAGAGACCCAGCAGGAGCCGAATGAGAGCCCTGAGGAATTTTATGAGTGGCTTTGCGAGGTCTACAGAATGTACACACCATTTGACCCAGCAGTTCCAGAAAACCATCAGCTAATTAATACAACTTTTGTAACCCAGTCAGCACCAGACATTAAAAGGAAAATGCAAAGACAGGAGACTTGGGAAGGCATGAATATAATGCAATTGTTGCAATTATCTAGGAAAGAGTATGTGAATAGAGAGACAATGAAAGAGAAAGAGAGAGCCAGGAAGGAAGATGAGCAGGCTCAGAGGAGATCTCCTTATATAGCAGTAGCTGTGGGAGCCAAAGAAGAGAAGGAAAAAGAAAGACAAGGAACTAAAGTAGAAGAAAGACAGAAAAAAGGTTTTCGGCATGAGGACTTAGAGTTTGACCAGTGTGCACATTGCAGAGAAAGGACATTATAAGAATAAGTGTCCAAGGCTCAAAAAAAA